CTGAGTCCAGCAGGTTGAGGCTGCAGTGGCTGTGAGCATGCCACTGCACTCCAGCCTGGGTGACAGAGTGAGACTCTGACTTAAAAAGAAAAAAAGAAAACATCAATAAATTCAACAAACCTCTATTAGGTCTGATCAACCAAAAAAAGAACATATAAATCAATAATAGAAATGTGAGGAAACTTAAAAATTACAACAGGCTTATGCCATTTAAAAACTGAAGCATAAATAAAAATGTAAATAACTTCTGTAATCCCAGCACTCTGGGAGGCCAAGCTGAGAGAACTGCCTGAGTCCAGGGGTTTGAGACCAGCCTGGACAACTTGGCGAGAACTTGTCTCCACAATAAATAAAAAAATTAGCTGGGTGAGGTGGTATGTGCCTATAGTTCCAGCTACTTGGAAGGTTGAGGCAGAAGGATCACCTGAACCCAGAAGGTTGAGAATGCGGTGGTCGTGAGTACATCACTGCACTCTAGCCTAGGGACAGAGTGACTAGACCAAAAAAAAAGTCCAAAAGTGACTTAGAATATGGAAAAAAAAAACAACCTTATAAACACAATCACCATAGAAGAATATAAATCCTTAATCTAAGATCTCTGTTGAACAACAGGTATCAGGATCAGATGGTTTTATAAATAAGTTATATTAAACTTTTTTTTGGAGTTGGAGTCTCACTCTGTTGCCCAGACGGGAGTTTAGTGGCATGCTTCTGGCCACTGCAGCCTCGACCTGCTGGGCTCCAGCAAGCCTTCTGTATCAGCCTTCCAAGTAGCTGGAACTACAGGTGCGTGCTACCACGCCCGACTAATTTTTGATTTATTGTAGAAATGAGGTCTCGCCAAGTTACCCAGGTGGGTCTCAAACCCGTGGGCTCAGGCAATCCACTCACCTTGGCCTCCCAAAGCGCTGGGATAACAGGCTGAGCCACCGAGCCCGGCAATATTAAACTTTTAACAGATTGGCCAGGCGTAGTGGCTCAGCCTGTAATCCCAGCACTTTGGGAAGCTGACGTAAGAGAAATGCCTGAGCCCGGGGGTTTGAGACCAGCCTGGGCAACTTGGCGAGACCTCATCTCTACAATAAATCACAAAAAATTGCCAGGTGTAATGACATGCATCTGTAGTCCCAGCTGCTTGGAAGGCTGAGGTGGAAGTATCGCCTAAGCCCAGCAGGTTGAAGCTGTGGTGGTTGTGAGCGTGCCGGCTGCACTCCAGCCTGGGCAACAAGAGTGAGACTCCAAATCAAAACAAAAACAAAAACAAAAAAACCCCAAAAACCCAAATAGATATTTTCTGTGTTTTAAGATTTTTTTGGTTGTTGTTTTTTGTTGTGAGTCAGGGTCTCACTGTGTTGCCCAGGCTGGAGTACAGTGGCACTATCATGGTTCACCATAGCCTTGTCCCCTTGGGTCCAGGTGATCCTTCCACCTCAGTTTCCTGAGTAGTTGGAACTACAGGCGTTTGCCACCATGCCCAGCTAATTTTTTTTATTTTTTGTAGCGACAAGGTGTTGCTCTATTGCCCAGGCTAGTCATCTCGACCTCCTGGGCTCAAGCAATCCTCTTGCCTTGGCCTCCAAAGTGCTGGGATTACAGGTGTGAGCTACCGTACCTGGCCAAATTCCTCTGATTTTTAAAAATCTTTTATTTTGTAGAGGTGGGATCTTACTATGTACCCAGGCAAGTCTCAAACTCCTGGCCTCAAATGATCTTCCCATCTCTGCCTCCCCAAGTGCTAGGATTACAGGCATGAACCACTGCACCCAGGCTCCTGTGACTTTTAAAGTGATCTGGGATACAGATAAGTAGAGTTCATTTCCCAAGTATTTTATAATACCAAAACAGGAAAGCTGTCAACTTGTCTCCCTTAGGAATATAGACACAAGAAAATATTTATGTGCAATGCTGGGTGCACATTAGTAAAGATACTGATAAAATTCTTTATAAAATGAATAAATTCTCATGCCTGTAATCCCAGCACTTTGGGAGGTGGAGACAAGAGGACTGTCTGAGCCCACAGGTTCAAGACCAGCCTGGGCAACTTGGCAAGACCTCATCTCTACAATAAACCAAAAAATTAGCCGGGTATGGTGGTGTGTGCCTGTAGATCCAGCTACTTGGAAGGATGAAGTGGAAGGATTGTCTGAGTCCAGTAGGTCGATGCTGTGGTGGTGAAGAGTGTGCCACTGCACTTCAGCCTGGGCGACTGAGTGAGACTCCGACTCAAAAAAAAGAACAAGGTCGGGTGCTGTGGCTCAAACCTATAATCCCAGCACTTTGGGAGGCTGAAGTGAGAGGATTGCCTGAGTCCATGGGTTCGAGACCAGCCTGGGCAACATGGTGAGACCTCGTCTCTACAATAAATCAAAAAAATTAGCTGGGCATGGTAGCATGTGCCTGTAGTTCTAGCTATTTGGAAGGCTGAGGAGGAAGGATTGCCTGAGCCCAGCAGGTGAAGGCTGCGGTGGCTGTGAGCATGCCACTGCACTCCAGCCTGGGCAACAGAGTAAGACTCTAACTCAAAAAAAAAAAAAGAACAAATTAAAAGCAAAACACTGTACAACCACAGGTCATTATCACGTGCAAAGAGGAAATCATCAGTAGTTGATACTAGGGATTGGCACACCACAGCCCAAGGGCTCCTCGCCTGCCTTAATAAATAGTTTTACTGGAACCCAGCCAACACTCACAGACGTGTTCCATGGCGACTTTCCAATCTATAACCTGGAATGGAAACTGGAATGGTTTCCACAAAGTCTAAAACATTGACTGTCTGGGCCTTTTCAGACTACATATGCTGACCCCTGGTTTACACTATTAATGGAAAAACTAAACATTTCAACATAAAACAAAACCATCGAAGAACCAGCAAATGAAATCTGTGGGTGGGGGAGCATGGTCTGAGCATGGCCAGGTCAGAGACCAAGGAAAACAGCACAGGCAGACACATATATGGATTCAAACCTCAGCACACAAGAAGAAGCCCCCAAAATAAGGGGCAGATGACCCAATGGCAGGAAACACATGACCTTTAAGAAACAGATAACAGGCCAGGCTCAGTGGCTCAGCCTGTAATCCCAGCACTTTGGGAGGCCGAGGCGAGAGGATTGCCTGAGCCTGCGGTTTCGAGACCCACCTGGGCAACTTGGCGAGACCTTGTCTCTACAATAAATCAAAAATTAGCACGTGCCTGTAGTTCCAGCTACTTGGAAGGCTGAAGCGGAAGGACTGCCGGAGCCTAGCAGGTTGATACTGGGGTAGCCGTGAGCATACCACTGCACTCCAGCCTGGGCAACAGAGTGAGACTCTGATTCAAAAAAAAAAAAACAAAAAAAGAAACAGATAACACTGTTAACACAGTTAGAGCCATTCTAGTAAGTAGAAAGGCAAGTACTACCAGAAGGAACCAGATGGGCTGTGCCTATAAGAAAGCAACGGAAGGGTCAGGAAGATTCAGCCTTACCAAGCAGTCCAAGTGCAGCTAAAGGCAACGTGATACCAATACCATCTAAACCCCATCCTCTGTAAAACAAACCACTCTTACAAGTCCTGCCATTAAAGGGAAAAACATTGCCAACTATACCATGACACACCACAGACAGAAGACATGGCCCGATTCCAGAATCTTTGAAAAGAAACGTCTCTCTGAATCGAGGAGAGTATTTTCTGCCAGCAAGCTGACAATAACAGACACTACAGTGTAGCAAGGGCACCAATTTGGTCAGCAGGCATCCCAAGGCCAGTCGGATGCTGGTGGACTTTCATATTAAGGGAACAATTCAGCAACCTACGAGCAAAAATGCCCCCAAACACACATGCCCAGCAACCCAGAACCTTCCAGTAAACCGTCCTACAGGAACAAGACCTCACACAATGTTTTAGCTGCATAGATGTGTATGACAGCATTATTTTTTTTTAAGGGAAAGAACCTAAATTTCCAACAACTGGGCGTTAGCTAAACAGATGACATCTGTTCCTATGACACAGGTAAGGCAGCCCCATGGGCACAGGGTTGCAAGGGTGCAGGACACAGCCACAGAGCAGGCATGTCTGCAAAAGTGGAGTGGTCAGGCCCAAGAAGGGTCACACAGTGTGGAGAGGCAGTACAGCCTGGTGACTTATGCTTATCTATGTTTTTAAGTAGTGTGAACATGCATGAATTGCATAAAGAGAAATAAACCAAAGATAGACCAAAATGAAAATCCCCCCTTTTCGCAGGGCCATACCATGGAGCTACCCTGGCCCCTTCCTGCCCCAGTGGTGGCCCCAGGGCAGTACCAGGGCCTCAGGGACACTTACTCACAATCTGTCCAGCTGGCAGCACCTGTTCCCCAGTGTCATTGGGGGAGAACGGGGGCACCGCTGCGAGGGAGAGACGCCACATGTTGGCCAGGTCTGCTCAGCATTCCCACACCCCCCACCCTCAGTCTACCCGCACAACAGGAGATGTGGGCAGAAGGTAGGGTCAGCCGGGACCCCCACCCCACAGGCTCCCTGGGGTCCCGCGGGTCACACTCACGGTAGCAGTGCGGGAAGCCTGTGTAGCCCTCAGCACACGTGTTGCACTGCTCCCCCACAAAGCTGGGCCGGCAGTGGCAGCGGCCTGTCAGGTCCTCACAGGTCCCATCAGTGAAGTCTGACTCACAGTTGCAGCCTGGGCGGGGGCGGGGGACCAAGTGAGCCTGGAGTGATCAGGTCCCTGGATGGGGTGGTCTCTGCCTCCCCAGTCTGCAGTGGGGATGTGGGCTACATACAGGCCTCCCAAGGCAATGTCGGGGCCCAACCCCCACCCAGAGGCCTAGGAGGTGCCTTCCTAGGCAGGCCTGAAACTCAGGATACCCCCAGTGCTGGGCCAAAGATCCAGGGATACCCCTTTTCGGGAGACCCTGAGCTCAGCACACCCCACCCACCAAGCCCACTCACGGTGACAGGTGTGGGGTGAGTCGAGAGGGTGGTCTGGAGAGCGGTAGAAGCCAGGTAGGCAGTGCTCACAGTTGATGCCGGTGGTGTGATGCTGGGGGCGGCAGGGGTTGCTGAGTCCAGCAACGGCCCCGCCCTCATGGGCACCATCCCTACCCCTGGCCCTCGTGTCAGCCCACCTGGCAGTCGACGCAGACACCTCCACCCTGATAAGCACCGTCCTGGTTCTGGCTGGCATGGCGCTGGTCCACCTCAGGGTCGTAGTAGCAGTCGGTGGCATGGCCGTGGCAGTTACAGGCTGGAAGGAAGGGGCTCAAATGTCAGCACAGCCTCCCTGGGCCCTCCTAGGAGCCACGGCTGCCAACAGCATGCGCATGTGCAGGGTCACTCACACTGGCACTCGTTGGCGCTGTCAGCAGTCGCTGGCTTCCACGGTCGCTGGTTGAAGCCGGGACAGCAGTGGTCGCAGGAGCCCCCGCAAGTGTTGTGCTGACAGGCACACTGCAGCCTGGGGGACAGGCAGCGGGAGGGGCTTAGGCCCACCTGGAGGCAGGTGGCAGGTCTTTGGCCCTACCCCAAGGGCCTGCTGTGTGAGCAGAGGCTGTCTGCCCTTGGCTTCCTTGGCTGTCAGGCAGCAAGTGTTGACCCAGACCCCGTGGGCCCCCGCCCCAGTGGCTCTGGCACAAACCCCATCCTCAGGGAATGGACACAGGGTGAGAGGAAGCAGAGGAGCAGAGTCTCATGTGACGGGTACTGCTAGGGCCCTTGTGGAGGGTGAGGATAGGCAGGGCCTAGGAGAGGGCACTCAGTGGCCAATGCAGGTGACCCTTGCCTGCAGGTCAGCCTGGAGCCCGGGTCCCTAAGGATCAAGCTATGCCCTTCCCCCCATGGCCAGGACCCAAACCCGAGCCTAGGGGCCCCAGATCCACCTCCAAGGAAAAGGGGTACAGCTGTACCCCAAGACCCAGATCTCACTTAGGGGGCAGCCCTATGCTCAGCTGAGACCCTGCACATCCAGGACATATCCCCAGGGAGAGTGGCCAAGAACTGTTTCCTCTCCCAGAGGGCAAATACCAAGTCAGGAGCTAGACAACAAGTCAGGAGCTGGAATCCTGCCTGCTGTCCTGTGGGCAGGGGACAGCTGGTCAGAGATGAGGCCCAAGGTTGGAGTCATCTACCTACACAGAATCAGCCAGGACACCCGGACCAAAGCCACCACCTCCCACTCAGAATTAACCAGGACACCAGGGCCAAAGCCCTCACCTCCCACTCAGAATTAACCAGGACACACAGGCCAGAAACTCCACCTCCTGCTCAGAATTAACCAGGACACACAGGCCAGAGTCCGCACCTCCCGCTCAGAATTAACGAGGACACTCAGGCCACAGCCCCAACCTCATACTCAGAATTAACCAGGATACCCAGATCAGAGCTCCCACCTCTCACTCAGACTTAACTAGGATATCTGGGCCAGAGCCTCCACTTCCCACTCGAAACTAACCAGGACACACAGGTCAGAGCCCCCTACCTCCCACTCAGAATTAACCAGGACACCCAGGCCAGAGCCCCAACCTGTCACTTGGAATTAACCAGGACACTCAGGCTGGAGCCCCTCACCTCCCACTCAGAATTAACCAGGACACCTGGGCCAGAGTCCCAACCTCCCACGCAGAATTAATCGGTACACCTGGGCCAGAATCCCACCCCCAGCACAAGACTCAGCCAGGGAGGGGCAGGAGTCAACCCCATCCCCAGGCTGCAGCATTTCCTGAGCAGGACCCCAGAAGTCAGTCCGTGAAGACTGAAGACCCACAGCCTCCAATCACTCAGCTCTAGGCCCATCTCCCACGGGAATCCGTAAGGCCTTGGAAGTCAAAACTCCTTCCTTTCAGAATACAGAAACATCTGGAAGGGTCACAGCCTTCATGGAAGAGGAACTAGGAAATCAAGTGTCTACACAGGTCATCAACAAGGAAGTCACTGTGTCTTTACCCCAGCTCTGAGGCCCTACAACCAAGAGCTGAACTAGTGTTTCGTTTTTCAAAAATTTGCATGGTTAGGGTACCCCAAAACAAAAATTCAATATGAAAAGTGGTGCAATGCTGGTGACACACTGTAGTGCTCAGCAAAAGCTCTCATAAAACCACCCTGGACAGATTCTTCCCAAGCCAGGGCACATGGGAAGCACAGAGATTAAAACTTCACTAAGACCTTGCAATGAAACAACACAATGGGGCAAGCAGACACAACAAACTGCAGGATCAGACCCCAGAACCTCAATGTAGCAACCTAGCAGAAATTGTAAAAGAACGTTTAAAACAACTGTAAACAGCACCTGTAGTTCCAGCTACTTGGAAGGCTGAGGCGGAAGGATCGCCGGAGCCCAGCAGGTCGAGGCTGCAGTGGCCAGAAGCGGCCACTGCACTCCAGTCTGGGTGACAGAATGAGACTCCAACTCAAAAAAATAAAAAATAAAACAACTGTAAACAAAGGAACCTAAAACACAGTAAAAAATGCAATGCTATGAAAAATAGAAAGATGTGAAAAAGAACCAATCAGAACTTCTAGACATAAAAATGGTATTATGGCTGGGTTCAGTGGCTCAGCCTGTAATCCCAGCGCTTTGGGAGGCCGAGGTGAGTGGATTGCCTGAGCCTGTATGTTCAAGACCTGCCCAGGCAACTTGGCAAGACCTCGTCTCTACAATAAATCAAAAATGAGCCGGGTGTGATAGCACGCGCCTGTAGTTCCGGCTACTTGGAAGGCTGAGGTGGAAGGATCGCCAGAGCCCAGCAGGTCGAGGCTGCGCTGGCCGGGAGCATGTCACTGTACTCCAGTCGAGGCGACGGAGTGAGACTCCAACTCAAAAAAAAAAAGGTATTATGAAATTAAAGACTCAATGAATGGGCTAAATAGCAGAGTAGACATAGCAGAAGAGAGACTTAGTAAAGTGGAGGTGGTGCTGAGGAAACCAACCCGAAGACAGCTCAAAAGACAAAGAGACAGAAAGTAGGAGAAACAAGGAGACTGGAGGGGTCTCTGCCTGTGCCTAATGGGAATTCTAGGAAAGAAGAGGCAGAAGGGGGGAAGCCGACAGTCAGAGGGAGAGAGAGCACCAAGAATGGTCTTGAATTAACAAAGACACATCTGATTTCAAAAGCATGAGTCTCGAGCAGCAAAAAATAAGCCTGATCCTCAACACATCAGAATAAATCTGCAGAACACTGATGGCAAAGAGATCATAAAAACACCCAGAAGAGGAAGACAGCCCACAGAGAGTCAACAACTGTGGGGACAGTGGACTCTCTCGAGCCCCAGGATGCCAGAGGACTGTAAAGTAAGTCTCGAACGTGTGGAGAGACACAGTCGCCAACCAAGAATTCCATGGTCTGCAAAACTATCATTCAAGGCTGAGGGCAAAACAGCCATTTTCAGACAATTACTGAGAGACTGTTACAGAATAGAGCAATTAAAGAACGCACTACAGGACAAAACACGAGGGACAAAATGAGAGGCAAGGGACTATGGAGAACAAAGACCCAGAAAGTAAGAAGGTGGCTCCAGGGAGACTGGGGATGGAACAAAACTACTGGCAGAAATAACATAGGAACAAGAATTAGTGTTCTTAGGGCTGGCCATGGTGACTCACACCTACAATCCCAGCACTTTGGGAGGCTGAAACAGGAGGATCACTAGAGACCTGAAGTTTAAGACCAGCCTGGACAACAAACACAGCGAGACCTCGTCTCAACAAAAAATAAAAAAATAACTAGCTGGGCACGGTGGTGTGCACCTGTAGTCCCATCTACTCAGGAGGCTGAGGTGGCAGGAATGCCTGAATCCAGGAGGTGAAGGCTGTAGTGATCTATGATGGCCCTATTGGACTCCAGCCCAGGTGACAGAGTTAATGTCCTTGGGCCCTTATGTCATCCTGGAAGGTAGGACAGCCCACTAAGTCTTGCTGTGGTTGAGTCAAGCATGCCTGTAAAGAGGAAGAACCACCTTGACAACACACAGAACCAAAAGAGGATGCTAAGACTAACCCCAAGCGAGACACAAGGTGGAACTTCCAAGTCAAGGACAAAGGAGGCTGAATAGGAGCGGGTTGATGTCTTAGGACTGGTGAGCAGTGGGGTGTTGGTGACGGGAGTTTTGCTGGGGCCTATGGTTCTGGGAAAGATGCCTGCTTTCACCCTCACACCCTGCAGTGTGGGCAGAGCTCAGTCTCCGCCCAGGTGAGTGAGTGGGTTGTGGCGCCGCCCATACAGAGGGCGGGGGTAGGCCCGACTCCTGGGCCCTGGGGCTTTCCTATCCTCATAGGCCAATGTGGAAGTGTCAGGCACTGCCCCTGCCATCTTGAGCTGTGCTGCCACATGGCACTCAATCTCCCAGGACAGTTGGGCTGTGTGTGGCTCAGCAGTCTGAGGCTGCACTGGCAGGGACCCGTGCCCAGGGCAGTCCCCAGAGCTGGACTCCTGGGAGGCAGCCCAAGTCCCTGGCTCAGGAGACAGTGACCCTCCGTCAGACCCATCAGCCATGTGGGAAGGGTCTGGCTCACAGCTCTGTTTAGCACAGACCCCGAGGACAGGGTAAGCGTCCATCTTATCAGGGCTTCTCTGTCTCCCCGGTAAACAGGGGGTGTGGACAGGGTACTGAGACCCTGCAGAAGGCAGGGGTGGGTGAGCCTGCCTGCTCCCTGCCAGGGTGCTTGTGTGTGTGGGTCATGGGCTCCCATCCTATCCTACATTCTGTCATGCCTAGCACCTGCTCCGCCACCCTCCAGGGCTAAAGCTTCATGGGAACATCGTGCCGGGCACTGGGTTGCATGTCTCCTGGCTGCCTCCCCCAGAACAGATGCTGAGACTGTTCTGTGGTCCTGCCCTGTGACCTGGTACTGGGAACAGAGCCTAGACCATGTTGGGAGCTCAGCACATAGCTGTCGACTGGAGGAACTGAGAGAGGGAGGGAGGGCAGACATGCCTGTGCTGCAAGCTGGGTCAATGCCAGGCTTCTGCTGTGACTCAGATGAGGCTCACTGGGTACCTGGAGCCTTAGGTACAAACATCAGATGGCAGTCTGATGGCGACACAGATTCCTGGGCCCCACCCTACTGGTGACTCTGGGTGGGTTCAAGAACATGCACATGGAGGGCCAGGGCCACTGCCCTTGCCGTGCTGGACTCCCAGGAGGTGGAACCACTGTGGCAGGCGGTCAGCGCCCTTGTATTCCCCTGCTGCCCCCCACTGCGTGAGCGCAGGACACATCAGATGGGGGTATCAGCCACTCCTGTTCAGGCCTTGGTCCCTGCCCTTGATTGGGCAGAGGCTGGGGGCAGTAGGGAAGATGTCTTTTGTGTCCTGAAGGCTTGGGGGGCTGGGCGGGCACCCCTACAGTGAGTGACGGCTGCCTCAGCCAGGGGCGGGCTCCTGTCCATCCAGGGATGCAGATAAAGTCTAGGGTTGGTTATCCCCATTGTCCATTACCCCACAGGACCCAGGTGTCTGCTGCAATGGGGGGGCAGCTGGCTCGAGGACGGGACAAGAGCCCACATCTGCCAGCAGCACCTCAGGGAGGTTCACCAGGCACTGCCCACCACCTCACTGCACATATAGGGAAACTGAGGCACATGGGGTCACAGTCAGTGCAGGCCACACAGGGAGCAGGGGCATGGCAGGCACTGGAACCAGGTCTCCTAACCCCAGGAAAGGCAAGGGTGATGAGGAAAGGCGGGGAGCCCTAGGCCTCACCGGAAAGGGCTTCACCGGAAGGGGTCTTACCTAAAGGGGTCCATGGGGTCCTTGGCATCACAGACATCTGCGTGGCCATGGCAGACACAGCGGCCGCCGATGCTGATGTCCTTGATGCTGTAATAATACTGCACCCACTGCTCTGTGAGTGTGCCAGGCCCACCCACCCAGTACCCCCAGTGGGAGTCTCCACCCACCCCTCATCTCACCCCCCACACTGAGCCCAACGGGTGTGCTCACCCGGCGGGTGACGGTGGGGTCCCGCAGCGCCTTGCCCATGAGGTGGCCCAGTAGAGTATTGGTGCGCAGAAAGCGCAGGCGGATGTTGGTGGCCTTGGTAAAGTCACGCAGCAGTGGCGAGTAGGAAAAGTTCATGGCTCCTGGGCGCCCGTTCACCAGGGACACCACGATCTGCAGACACACGGGCGGTGAGGCCAGGGTGGCCACCAGCCTCACCCACCCCCCTCACATGGGCAGGCCTCACCTCGCCATTCTCCAGGGGCACGATGCGTGAGTACTCGGTGGTGCAGATGGCGGCATCATCCCGCGTGATGCGCTCCAGCGTCCGCGGCCCAAACCGCTCTAGGCAGTCCCTCTTGGAGGCTGCAGGGAGTTGGGGGGGCAGAAGGATGCTAGAGCTGCCAGGAAAGGCCATGCAACCTGGGCCAATGACAGGCCCAAGGTGGGGGCCAGGCCATGCCGCCAAGGCCTCCACTGGCCAGCAGGACCAGTAAAGAAGACCTCAGACCCACGGCAATGTGGGGCTGTGCACATGGTACTAGCTCACCCTTTGCCCCCACTTCCTGGAAGATGTTTGGAGAACAAGTGCCCCCTCATTACTCTTTCCTTGGAGACTGCCCCCCATGTTTGGGCCAGGAAGTCTGGGGCAACACATGACCAGGTCACCCTATCAGGGAGGTGCACCCCCTCCCGCCAACACAACTGGTTAGGTGGCAGGTGGCCAAGGACGGCCAGTGCCTGGGTGCCAGGACTTCGGCACTACTGTCATGGGCGGCTAAGCTGGCAGGAAGTGAGCCAGGAGCTGCCAGGGTCCCTTTGTCACCACAGGGAGCTGCCTGAGCATGAAGCTGTCAGACAGAGCCAAGAGATGGCACTGGAGATTCCTGGCGCCATGAGCCCCTGGACCCAGCTGTGCCCGACGTCTGGGACGTGAGCCATTTGCCCTCGGGTCCTTGAGCTGACAGCCCTGGCCAGGCGGGAGCTGGGCAAGAGGGCAGGACCTGGCATCCCAACACCTTGAGAAAGTGTGGCCATGGCTTCCCTGCCCAGGGACACCCCCAGGCCCCATGGTACCCGCTGAGACTCACAGGCAAAGAACTGCCAAGGCCGGTAAGTGTGGCCAAAGTCCGTAGACCGCTCCAGCACCCAGAGATCTGGCCGAGGGGAGTTGGCAAACTTGATGAGCACGTAAGCCACATGGAAGACCTGCGGGAACCACACTGTCAGGGCATCCAGCCCTCATGCTGTCCAGGGCTCAAGTGAGGGTCCCAGCAGGTGACACTGGTACCTTTGTCTCACAAGGGGCACCTGTGGGCTTGCCTGTGAGGGGCAGGCATGCCCAGGGAACAGGGCCTGCACCGGGGATAGAGATGAACAAACAAGAACCAGCCCTCTCAGAAGGGCTCACACCTGACCCGAGACCACACCCAACATCTTTTCCCCTACCCTCCCCAGGGAGCTCTGCAGCCTGGGGGTACTGCAAGTGGCACACTGGGAATGGATCCTGTGAGTTCCAGGCAATGGGTCAGGCCAAGGTGGGGACAGTACATCCCAAGGTCCCCTAAGTCCTGATGCCCAGCCAGGCCAGGTGGCCAGAAAGTGCCCACGAGGTGAATACAGCCTCTTGGCACATCGGATGGGTCAACCCCCCGTGGAATGGGGTCCCTGCCCAGCCTCACACTGGCCATCTGCCTCAGGAATGATGCCTTTCACCTGGCAAACAACCCACAGCCACTGAGGCCCTCTGGGCCCCGGCAACATGGAGCATCCTGGGGCTCAGCCCTGTCATCCTGGGGACCCCATGGGGGACCCAGCCTGGAAAATGGGCCTTCCCAGAACTCAGTTCATCTGGGCAGACCCCACTAGCCCAGGAGCCAGGGGTTGTAGCTTCGTGGTGGCCCTGGCATGTCAGGGTGGCCCCCCAAGGACCTGTCCTCCAGGGGCATCTGGGCCCCCCAAAGCCCTGCTTTGTCCTGTGTTTCTTCCCAATCTACCTGAAGGAAAGACAGCCTTATTTCTCATCTTTCTGGCCGGGGAACAGCATCCTGGGTGTCCCCATGCACCTGTGCCCAGCTTGACCCTTACAGGGTGCTTTTGATGCTTCCCAGAGAGGCCCTCCCTGACTATAGCCTGTCTAGCCGCCCTCGGTCCTGACATGCCAGGAGGCATCTAGTACCAGGTGCCTTCCCTCACCTACCACAGGAGCTGGTCCCTGCGGGGCGGGAGGCCAGTGTCCCCAGGCCACAGACCCCTCCAGAAAGGTCTCAGGTCCCTAAAAATAGCCCACGTTCTCTATGGCAAGAGGCTGCACCATGGAGCAGGAGGGGTATTGAGACCCCCAGGAGGGCGGTGCTTGGCAGGGTTCCTCTTCACACCTGTGTGTGCACATGTGTGTCAGGGTTTGGACTCCCTCTGCCCAGCAGGCAGCCTCAAGTATCAGTGCAAGTGCCCCATCTCCACATCCCCAGGGTGGCCAGCTCCAGGGTTCCCTACATGAGGGCTGGGATGGAGGGAGGGCTCAAGCCCAGGGCTCTGTGGGAGGGCAAGCCCCACTCCCTACCCTCTTTCCCTCCCCTCTCACTCCTCCGCCCATCTCCCCTCTGCCCTCCTCATCTCCTCTCCACCCCTCCCCCATCTTCC